TCGGGGAAAAAACGCAGACCTATTTTTGCTTGGTCCTGTTGCCATGGTGACTCATAATGTCTTCACTCCATTGTTCAGGGCTTTTTATAGTCGCGCTGCACGCGCCTAACTCTGAGTCAACCTACTCAGAGTTGATTAAACCAACTCTTTTCAGCTGTTCTGGAACCGAAAACTCCAAGTTTTCCAACTCTGTGTAAGTCAACTCAGAGTTCAGGTTTGAACTCTGAGTTTGTTAAACCTCCTTCTTGAAACGGGCCCCAGCTCTCCTGAGCCACCTGATGAAGTATAGCCACTGCTGGGCTTTCTTCACTGTGGCAGCTGTGTTCAGTGACCAGCTCAGGTCAGATGTCACCTGCAAGCCCAGGAACTTGTAGCTGTCAGCCCTCTTCACCTCAGCCCCTTTGATGGTCAAAAGCAGCAGAGGGGAGGGGTTCTTCCTAAAGTCTGTTATTATTTCTTTTGTCTTATTTGCGGTCATTCCCCTCTCCATAAACAAGAATGTCATTCACCAAGCTTCTGTAACCCGACTCATCCCCCCCTCTTGATGAGGCCCAGAATGGTGGTGTCATCAGCATATTTAATGATGGTGGTGTTGTCCTGGTTGGAGACACAGTCGTGAGTGTACAGGGTGAAGAGTTTGGGGCTCAGACAGCAGCCCTGCGGCGAGGGTGTGCTTATTGTGAGTTCAGAAGACATCCGCCTTCCCATTCTGACTACCTGTGGCCTTTCTGTCAGGAAGTCCAAAATCCACCTATAGGTGAGAGTTGGGACACCAAGTTCTGCCAGCTTCTCAATCAGCCTGCCCGGGCTGCTGTGGCAAATGGTATTGAATGCAGAACTGTAGTCCAGGAAGAGTATCCTAACGTATGTTCCGCTGCTGTCCAGGTGTTTCAGGGTGTGGAATAAAGCCAGAGCCACCATGTCATCCACTGATCTGTTGGGGCGATAGGCAAACTGGAGAGGGTCTACAGTGTCTGGGACCATGTGGTTAATGTGTGCGAGCACCAGTTTCTCTAAGCACTTCATGGTGACTGATGTGAGCACCACCGGCCTGAAATCATTCAGAGTGGATGTTTCTGATGTCTTGGGGACCGGTACAATAATGGACTTTTTGAAAATGCGAGGGACTACTACTTGGGTTAAAGACAGGTTGAAGATGTCTGTGTAAACACTAGCTAGTTGATCCCCGCAGGCTTTCAGGACTCTAGGGGAGACATCATCTGGTCCCGCAGCCTTATGGGGATTCACTCAGTTTCTTCTTCAACATCTGCATTACTGCTGATGCTGCCCCTATCTGCCTGTCATTCTCATGCTCAATTTTACCCTCTCCCATGAACAAAACACCAAGATATATAAACTCCTTCATTTGGGGCAGCAACTCACTACCAACCCAGAGGAAGCAGTCCACTTTTATCTGGCAGAGCACCATGGCCTCAGACTTGGAGAAGCCAACTCTCATCCCTCCCACTTCACACTCAGCTGCAAACTACCCCAGTGCATGCTGGAGGTCACGGTCTAACAAAATCACATCATCAGCAATTAGCATAGATGCAATTAATAAGCAAACAACTTTGACAACTCAAGTTTATTTTAAAAAAAAAAGAAAAAACATCACTAAAATTGGAGTCTGCTCCTATGTAAAGGCTCACCAGAAGCCAGATTTGCTGCCTTCTGTGACATGTCATCACTAATTGAAGGCCTTTTAGTCTTTCTCTGCTCATCCTATCTTTTCCCATCTCTTATACATCATTCACTTGTTCTCCATAGTTTTGAGTAGCATCATTATTTCTGCAACAGAATGAAAAATACTGTTGTTACATAAATGTTACTTTTCTCAAATGTGTTTTATACAATCAGTAATAAGAAGTTAAACCAGTATTTACAACATTAACTTTTTTCATAGAAAAGTTTGCCTATTAGCTAATCAGTGACATAAAGTTTATAGCTCTGATAACAACAAGCCTGGAGAGACAGAAAATGCCCAGACAGGTTCTGCCACTTCTTTTCTTACAGCCCAACCTACCAGCCATCTCACACACACCATTGTGCTGCAAGTAGATACAAGAAGTGAGGTCTCTTTCAACATTGCTTTTTGGTCACAGCCTCCAAGGGACTGAGTCTGCCTAAGTGAACAATACATGGTTTTAATTTCAGTTAGTTGACTGAAATAATTATGATAATAGCAGAGAAAGGAAGTGAACAGCTAAAAAGCATTTGAAAAATCAGCATTTGCTTTCCTGAATGATATGTTGGACTGGAAAATGAAGATGGGCGCAAGACCACCCCTAAAACCCTCAGCAAATATATGTACAAATACAATACATACATATAATAAGCTCAACCCTTACATTCCATCAGAACTAATGAACTGATAAACTGATAATTATAGGGGTTATCCAGTGCATTTGGTCTGATGAGTCACTAATGAACTGATAATCTTATACATTATAGGAGTTATCCAGTGCATTTGGTCTGATGAGTTTCAGTTTCTGCTGCTACATTTGAATGGCAGGGTCAGAATTTGGCGTAAACAACATCAAAGCATGAATCTATCTTGCCTTGTATCAGCAGTTGAGGCTGCTGCTTTGCACGCTCTTAAATGCTAAGCTGCAAACTGAGTAGTGCTTGAAATATGGTTTGTGCTCCCTTAAACATTAGGGTGGGGATCTACTTCCATAGGACTCCCCCACCACTCCTTTGGCTTGGCTGGTTAGTAGACAGTGACCACTCTGTACAGTAGCCTATAAACCACTTCAAAGTGTTCTCATCATTTGATTATTTTATAATTAATCATGATAAAACAAACCTGAACTACATCTTGGATGCACAGTTTTTAAAGGATTTTCAGACTAATGGCAATTTAATCACAGCACATGACGGACATACAGTAAAGTAAATGCAGTTACAGTATATGCAATTTTATGCAGGAAGGACAAATCTTAAGTCAAATATTGGGTTGGGGTGGAACACATATCATTGGCGTTATTATGCAAACATGTTTGTTGCTTTATTTCTATATGGACCTGCAAATATAATTAATTTCACTACTTTGGGAATGTATGTGGCCATGTGGGTGACCAACAACCACCAGCTGGGTTTACTGACCTTGGAGCTACTTGAAAGGGAGTGATGTTTCCACTACTCAGTGGAACTTAACAATAAGTAAGTAAAAAAATGCACACTGCATGTCTGTTAATGCCTTGTTTCTTTAACATTAGAGAGAATTGTTGAAAGGTTGGAAAAGCTACTATGTCTTCATTATGTCAGAATATGGAGTTTCTCAACTACCTGCTTTATTTAGAGTGTTACACATCTCTTTTCATCAGTACATATACCGTTGTTTACCTATCTATGGAGGAGACATTCAAATTAATTAATGCCATTGCAGTTCATTGTGCTGCCCACTTGTGACACAACACCAGCAACAGGACTTGTGCGTGTTCATGAGTGATCCTCTAGTTTTTAGGCATTTTAGGAAAACGCTCTCTGGTTATATCATTCTGAAATAATTAAAGACTACTTGGAGTTATGAGGGGTGCCAAGCTAATCTAGAGATACCCAAGATTAAAAATTAAATAGCTGGAAACGAGCAAAATGAGAATGCCATGGGGACTTTTAACAATTTTAGACTGAATTTTTCTTTTACCAACTCAGTCCATACTCCTTTCTGTTGATAGGTATGTATGGTTTATATGCAAATTTGTTTTTATTCCCAGTTGCATCTCCCTTCTTAGTTTAATCTGTAAAAATTGATTACGTCTTTATGCTTCCCTCTCATGCCAGATCTACCCCCCCTCTCTCACTCACTCATTTTGTCATAAGTAAATAAAAATAAACGGTTATAGAGTTACAAGGCTGATAACATGGTAAAGAGGCTGTTTTCCATGGACATGAATACAGGTGCGTCTTTTTGGCTTGCTATTTTGTGCGCCTTGGGCAAAAAATATTTGAGAACCACTGGGCTACAGGATAAGTGTTTTTTGTCATTTAGGGCCCTTCAGATCTTTTTAGATCTACTAATAATTACTATTAATTAATAGGTTACTTCATCCAAATTACTACTGCTAATAAATAGTGACAGTAAAATATAATCTAAGTCATCTAAGGACCTCATGTGTGAACAGTTCAACATCTATTGTCTACTGCAGAAATCGCTCCTATGTTGTGTTCCTGACTCCAGTTGTGCCAAGGTGCCCTTAAGCAAACCACCTCAACTGGACAAACTCTTGCAGGACCTGTGTCGTTCAATGTACAGCAGGGTGGAGCTGAGAAACATCATGATAACACCTTATTCAATGGACATGAGGAGTGTAAAATAACATATTGTGTACTGCAGCCATGCTGTTTCATACCAGCTGTCACCATCTAGTGCCCCCTTTCATATCTATGAAATAGAGAACTAACAGGAACAGGAGTTCTCTGTTCTATCTGTAGAAAACAGTATTTAGTCAACTACTGAAGGAAAAATTACGTTTACCATCTGTGGAGCGAAAGTCAGTGAGTTTTTTTAAGCACACTAACCACAAGTGTGGATTGCATGCAACAGAGGTTTTAGTGGGTTTACAACAAGGAAGTGACAAGTTGTTATAAATACCTGGTTGACAAGATGGCAAAGTCCCCACCATCAATGAGCCGGATCTTACAGAAAAGCACTCCATTAACAAAAGGCACTGCTGTAAGCTCCTCCAATGTGAAATGCACTTGAAACTTGAACTTCTTCTTTTTCATTAAAAACGACATTGCGCTCATGGAACGATAATACCAATGAATGAAAACTGAAAAAAATGCCTAGAGTGTATTTGGCTTTAAAGTGGAGGTTGAAAATCCTTCTTTGCCTTAAGGTTAATCATTTCTGAAGCGCTGTTTAGACCTGGAATTGAAAAGAAGACTGTTATAGATACAATAATATGAGCCCTGTTTCATTTGCAGCTTAAAGATCTTTGCAGCAATGACACTTGTGGTCCGTATATTTTTTATCCCCTATATTTTAAATATATGACCATATGTTATAACCTACATATTATAACAGTCTAGGCTGATGAATTAGCTATTGTAAAACCATTTGTTTCCCTTTAAAAACTCGTACGGTTGCTTGCCTTTTCTTTGACACTGATAGACTCTCCCGGTGCAGACAGCTGCCACGCAAACAGCAAAGCCACTCGGTGACTTACTTCCAGCCCTTCCTTCCACATAAACCTCCACCAGACCGTAGCTACCGTTCAGGTGGCCTGCTGTTCCTCATACCTGGCAAAAAGGTACAGCCGTGTACCGCTGCAGAGAACTGCGGTTTCTCAGCTTCGACGCATCTTATTTAGTTTTCACTAGTGGAGCTCAACAAGTCAGAGCGGCTACCGTAATGTCTCTCTCTCTTTGGTCAGTTAGGGACCGTCCACAAAGTCTGAGAAGAAATGTGTGAGAAAAAGAACCACAGGCTCTGGAAAAAAATTAAGCATTATTTGATTTGTACACCCCCTCCTTGAACCGCCACCTTATTGTGGTGGAGGGGTTTGAGTACGCGAGTGATCCTAGGAGCTATGTTGTCGGGGGCTATATGCCCCTGGTAGGGTCTCCCAAGGCAAACAGGTCCTAGGTCAGGGGCCGGCAACCCACGGCTCCGGAGCCGCATGTGGCTCTTCAGCCTCCTTGTTGTGGCTCCCCTCCCGGGGGAGAAAATCTGTTTTCCCATTGATGTGTTTTTCTTAACCTGAATCCTAACACTATCCTAACCACAACCACTGAGGAGGTTGCTACATGTACCCGAGATTTGAAGAAGGGAAGCACATCTCGATGGGGGAACACTTTTTGGCACAAGACTGGTCAGGAAGCCAGGACAACTCATAAATGAAAACACAAGTCTGGGCATCTTTGCTTAGACTGCTGCCCCTGCGACCCGGTCCCGGATAAGCGGAGGAAAATGGATGGATGGATGGATGATTTGTGCACGTTTACTACTAACAATAATGGGAAAAAACAAAGGTCTAAATGTTGAAACTAAACATGAACTTTAAAGTGGATATAACTGAAATGTACACAAAGTACAGAGAGAAGAAGAAGCAGCTTTATTTTATTGTCATTGTAACATGTACAACAAAATTTTGTTTGGAGCCGAGGGCCCTGGGCTACTGCGAGCATACGCGCCACCATCAGGGGCAACTTGGGGGCTTCAGTGTCTTGCCTAAGGACACTTTGACATGTGGACTGCAGGCACTGAGATTCGAACCGTAAACCTTCCAGTTGGAAGACGACTGCGCTACCCACCTCACCACTATCGCAAATTATTTAGCATACTTTTTTAAAAGTTATTTCCAAGCAATAAAAAAGTACCAAACTTAGCGTTACCTTTGTTTTGGCTGTTAATGTAAATCCTAGTTTTTCTTAAAGCGCCAATGGTTGGCCATTTTTGCTCATTTCCAGCCTTTTAATGTTTAATCCTTGGTACCTCTACATTAGCTTTGCACCCATCATAAATAGTCTGCAATTATTTCAGAATGATAAAACCAGAGAGTCTCTTCCTAAAAACGAGAGGATAGTTCATGAATGTGCACACCTCCTGCTGCTGGTGTTGCCACACTGACAAATAAGTAGTGTTCAACAGTGACAATACCTCAAATCCTACCTGACATGTTCGAGACACAATATGAAAGTGGACAGCATGACGAACCGCAACAGCATTAATTAATTTGAATTTCAAGACCTGCATCTGCTAGGGTGCCTCTTTGTCAAAGAAGGCTAGGGTACCAACTCTGGCCAGCTCATTCTTTGGAGCTTGAAATGCCTGTTTCTGTTCTGTCCAAACATGAATGCTGTGTCTTTTCTAGTCAGATGTCATAGCGGCTCTGACAGTGTTGCAAACTGTGCTATGAATCAGTTACTGTAGCCAGTCCCAGGAAGCTTCTCACCTCCCCAGCATTCTCTGGTTACCCGGCTTCCACAACAGCTCTCACTATCTCTTCTCTTGGTCTGTTGTCTTTCTGTGACAGAAGTGTTTTCTCAAGATGGCGTGTAGACGCTTGTCATGAGTTTCCTGATCTGGTGCATGTACTATTACATCATCTGAAATGTTCTCAACATTTTCAGTGCCAGCTAAAGCATTTGCTATTTCATGCTGGTATTGCTCACTGAATCAGAATCAGCTTTATTGGCCAGGTGTGACGGACACACGAGGAATTTGACTCAGGTACATAGGCTCTCAATGTGCAAACAGTAAACCAGCATAAGGCTGTGTAATATAACAAAATAGCAGTATTAACATCAACAAACAGTGCAAACAATGCAGATAAAGCAGTATAAACAGGCAGTAAACAATGCAGACAACAAAGGAATGTTCACTGAAATGAGATAATTAGGAATAAAAATAGAGTACTTAAAATGGAGTACTAGAGACCTGTACAAGTCTGTATAATCTGTACAATGTATATTTACAGGTATTGCACTGAGGGTTATTTGTCCAATCATACTGTCGTTGGTTAAGTGTTCATCAGAGCGACAGCCCAGGGGAAGAAACTGTCCCTGTGCCTGGTTGTTTTCGTGCACAGTGGCTAGTAACACCGTCCAGAGAGGAGGAGTTCAAACAGGTTGTGTCCAGGGTGTGAGGGGTCTGCAGTGATCCTCTCCGCCCTCCTTTTGACCCATGAGGTGTACAGGTCCTCCATGGAGGGCAGGCTCACACCAATGACCTTTTCTGTAGTCCTCACTGTTCGCTGGAGTCTGTACTTGTCCTGTTTGGTTGCTGAGCCAAACCAGACAGTGATGGAGGTGCAGAGAACAGACTCGAAGATTCCTCTGTAGAACTGTATCAGCAGCTCCTTGGGCAGGTCGAACTTCCTGAGCTGGTGCAGGAAGTACATCCTCTGCTGTGCCTTCTTGGTGATGGTCCTGATGTTGGAC